TGATCTCCGGAGGTTGCCTTCTTCTAAATTTGCGCTATCTCTAATAGACAAGATGGAGAAGTCCAGCGTGGGAAATACCTGTCCTGTTGGTCCACGCCTTGACTTCGATTTCATTCCAAAGGTTCTGTTTATAGTTCCACCAGCTTTTTTTCCCTATGAATGTATTTATTTAATATGGTTGTATGACATGGTGTGTTCAGAGCGTTAGCGAATTGCGAAAGGAGGCTCCAGCAAAACCTATGCTGATCGGGTGCTGCGCCTCGGAGGGACTCATCTTCTGTAAGTTTACCTTGAGTTAGTCGAGTGTGTTAACGTTCCACCTAGTAGGGCTAGGGCTTGGTTTTTGGAAAGGAAAAACTGTTTTGAAAATATCGAAGAATTGGCTTTCTGCCTCTGGTTCATCCCTTCTTGGGAAGATCCCACATTCTGCTGGCTTCCGATGAGAATCATCGTAACGTTTACCCTAAAAAACGGATTGCGGGGATAGCCTATGTTCAATTGTGAGTTTGCACTGGGCCAGAGAAGTTTGGCAACGAGGCCCGCATGGGAGGTAGGACTTTTTGGACTAGATCGTGTCAGGGCGGAGTTCAACACAAGAGCCATTTGCGAGGTTTTCGCTATTTTGCACCGACTGTCCGTTATACTTGGTGATTCGAGTCGATCAAATACTGCTCTAATGTTGTTCTTCAGTGGGCTTCGAGAAGCATCCTTCTCTCAGCTCCATTATGGAGCAGATCTCGCGGCTTATTCCTGAAAAGCATCAACCTCGCCTGTTCAAGAAGATACGCGAGGAGGTTTTCGAAAAACTTGCCGTAAACCCTCAAAATCCTGTCATAGTGGCTCGAGCATTCACTGAGGTACGTTGTTTGCTCGTTATCGCCGAATTTTGTGATCGGAATTAAGTTTTTCTTCAATTCAGATCCTCGGCGATTTATTCGTAAACGTCGGAGTTCAGAAGACTGTCTTGGAAACACTGGAGGCACACGATGCTCCTGTGTATTTCTACTCTTACGACTATTTCAACCCAAAAAGTTGGGGACCTTGTCCATTCGATGGCCTTTCAAAGGTAATTTCAGTATTTTCCACTAATTTTTCCAGTTGCCTAGGTAAGACAGGAGTCGGCAGAGTGTTTAAAGTTGGTTCAGAGAGAGGGTTAGAGGAAGGTCATAAAATGTAGTTGAATGTAGCCAAGTAAGGATTCTCAGATTGTGCACAATCAGTCCAATCGTAATAATCGTTCTTATTAATGGGTTTAACGAAAAAAGAAACAGGAGAGGAACGAGGTAGATGGAAGGCGGGAGAGGAGGTATTCAGAGAAAGGATGGTCGAGCTTTTCGTTCTTCAGTATAAGAGAAAGGATGGTTGAGCTTTTCGTTCTTCAGTATATGCCCTAACTTCTTTCCGTGGTTGCCAAGTAGGTGAGCTCTCGAAATTTCGAGGAAAATTGAAGTTATGCGAGTTTCCGGTGAATGTCAAAACCTCGGTCCCTTCCGAGACTGAAGTTCAGTCCATAACTCGCCAACCTTGTGAGAGTTTCGCATCATGTACAGCCACGAAATAGCAGCAGTTAACAAAGCTTAAGTCAAAACAAACATATATACGATATTATTATCCGAAATATAAGACGTTTTGCTCGATAAATAATTTTTTTCTATTTTATTTTATTATATAAATATTTTAATAAATTAATATTTTCAGATGCAACACATTGTACTGAATTGGCATACATTTTCGCCGTCGGAATAATCTGGCATTTCGATTTCAATGACGATGACAAACGCATGCTCGAGATGACAACAAGAATGTGGACGAATTTCGCTAAATACGGGTAACTCTTTTCATTGTCATTTACAAAAATAGACAGCACAGTGAAAGGCCACAATTCAACCTTCATCGTAAGTGTCTGTTTTGTTGCCTCATCAAGGTGATAACTTGCTGGGTTGAGAGAGAAGCCAGAGAAATTTTGCGCTTTTGGTATTTGTGGTTTTCGGAACTTTTCAGACCATTCATAGAGGTTTTAATGCCTCTTTAAGCGTTTAGCAACCCTCGCTCTCAAAATCACACCTGTACAACGAGCCAACCAGTTGCCTATGTTATCGTGAACTGAGAAATATCCCGAAAAAACTGTTCGATCTGTCCCAGGGCAAATGGCGATGGCTATGCCTCGACTGATTCAGGGAATTGTGATTCTCTAGGGATGTCGGCACTTTTTGAGAAAACCCTCCGACTTTGATGATTTGATCAAAAACGAATCGTCTGCTGTCTCCTATCACCTCTATTGTAGCCCCTTGAGCGCTGCTCAAAATGGGGCACAATCTTTCCTCCGGGCTTAGCAGTGGAAAAAAACAATGGAGAAGAGAATTTTTCAGAAATCCCAACGGTGTCGCCGAAATTCCGAGTTCGTCCGTACCCTGTGATCGGCCGTTCACATGGGAACCAGCGACTCTTTCGAATCCTCAGAGACATCTCGCCATTTCACTCCGACCAGAAATGAAAGACGAATACAAGGTATGCTCAAATTCCTTTCTCAGGCAGTTCCGTGGCTTCGGAAGCTAAAGACTTTCATTTTCAGAATGGAAGGCCTCTGCTCATTGCACAATTACGGCGGTCCAAGTCTGAATCGAATGGTGTATGAGTACCTCTGAATTTCCCTGTATATATTCATAACCTTATAAATTTGAATCTGATTATGAGCCGTATAAGCTGGATGATGAAGTCGGAAAATATGAGCAGAACAGGTGAAGCAGCTGTAAATGAAAGTTGAGAGAAGTTAGACCAAGGTTAGAAGATGTTGTCGAATCATTCGTTGTGTCGATATTACCTTGCTGTTGGAAAAGGAATGTTTCTTGCCTTATTTGTGGAAATTATTCTCGACATTACAGTAATTTTATAGGTAACTATTGTCGGTATTGACTAAGTTGATTGTTATTTATGTATAGGCTAAGGTAAAGCTGTCCACCGATCGGGAAAAGTAGTGAAATAGCCTTTCAGTATGTTTGTCTAACACCTTGATATTCTCGTTTTTGAATCGGACCTCGGGAACCTGAACTGTATAGAGGGACGGTTGCTTTCGCATGAACCCAAGAGACACAAAACTTTTTGACCTCAGCTGGGCATAAGAAGTAAAATGGCGAAGTCTCGTGTGCTGGGTGATATTCTCCCATAACCTTCAACAAAGGTCTGACAAATGTTTCTTATTAGAATTGTAGTGGTTGTTCAGCAGTTCAATCGGGGGCATTCATAGTGCGAGGTACATCGACGCCAGCTTTTGAGTCAAAAGTTGCTCTGGCGCTAATCGCCGAAAAATGTTGGGCGCATTACACTAGGTGCCGTGGACGCCGGGTGGACGATGATTGCGATTCTGGCGAAAGCAGCCAGAATGGAATTTTTGGCAAATACTGGCAAATTACTCATCACAGTATACCTCTGTATTCAAACTTTGGTCGCAAGACCCTTCACCTCTACTCATCTTTGATTAATTACCGAGGGATTTTGTTATTATTCGATGCGAATTTTCTGAAGATACTTACGATATCGAGGTGTAGTCGCCTGTTTCAAATGTATTGGTCAGACAATGTGTTCAGGACTTCTGCACAGACTGTTTAGTTGAATTAGGAATAAATCGTTAAGCCTCATGAGCTGTCAAAGTAACAGAGATTTGGATAGCATTCCATCATTATGAATTCTTCCATAGTTGTTTTTCGGTTATTAGAAATTTATTCTTTTCAAGTGTACATTACTATTATTTGGGAGTGAAGATGCTGTCCGGGAGAACCCTTTTAGGGTACCATTAGGTTTTTCTTAGCCTCTGGCTCACGAGCAAAAGTTTGTTCACATTGAAATTTGTTTAATGCGAGGAGCAAAGTTTCACGTGGCGAAAGGCTTAAATCCGACACCTCTTCATGGTTGAACCCGGTTATCATCATAACCCCGCTCAATCCACCGGCTCACGAACATGGGAGGCAGAGTCGAAACCAACATCTGAGAATTTAGCCGTTGTATGTACAAATACCACTACAAAGGGCCACTCAAATCTGGGAACCTTCCCACAATTAGTGAGATCGCAAACCAAACCGAAAGACATGAACCATGCATAAAAGTAAGGACTAGCGTACGGGCATCTTCATTCCACGTCCCTCACTTCATATGGACGTCGATGAGGTTTGATGGAAGTGGGGCGCCCATATTCTGCACATACGCTAAGCCATCATTGTATCCGTAGCGGAGGAACTGAAGCGGACAAAAAGGGGGTAAAGTAAAGGTCAAGCGGTATCTATATTTTAGAAAGTGGCAGAAGGATTTCTAGTAGGCAATTAGGAGTGTCTTGCGGTTTCTATTATAGAAACAGCACGGTCATATTAGATAATGTTCTATGGTCCTATTGACTTTAATAGTTTGAGCAACGCATCTCTAGTCCATCGCACCCAGCAATGGTGGATTGTGTTCCCAAAAGCTAGACAGACTGCTACCATGTCCGTATTTTGCTTCTGGTAAATTTCCATGCATCGTTACTTCACTGCAAGAGCTTTCAGATGTCCTTCAAAAGCTATGAGTTCTTCGCAGTGGAATTCTTCCCTGACCGATCACTTCAACTGAGGCAGACGCTTCATCAAAACAGAGAAACGCCTGTGAAAACTGATTGCAACCTTGCCTTTTGCCACCCAGTCAGTTACACCACCGCCCTTTCTGCTTTTAGGGCAACCAGAAAAATCTCATTTTCAAAATGGCTGCTATTCGGCACAACGTTCTGTTGTTTAACAGTGTTCGCTCTTCTTCCCATACAGTTGCTTCTTCTGCCTCCTGCACAGCAGAATGCGAATCGAATCGATGTCGGTCCCTGCTCGCGCAACTTCGCAGTTGGGTAATTTTTCGGCACTTTCCTTTACTCCTTTAATCCCTTTTTTTATTCACTGTCAATAGTTCGCGTACTGATTAGCCGGCGCGTCTACAGGGACGTATTAATAAATAAATAAATAAATAAATAATGGGTTCCAACAGCGGAGTGGTCGAATTCGAACTCATAAAGAAATACATGTTGAATATGGGTAAACAGTCTGGTCATTATATGGCTAAATAAGCATTTATGAGGTAGCTGACAATGTTATGTTTATACGAGTAGGTAGCGTCTTTTCATAGAAACCCCATAGAAGCGTCCAGAAGATCGAGGGAGAAATCTGAACGACTGCGACATTTTAGGCAGAATTTTCAGCACACATAATAACTACAACTTAGGTGAAGTTCAGGTTAAAAACTCGTTTTGCTAAAGAGCTTCTGGCCCAGAGGGGATTTTACGGCTTCAGTAACTTGCTAGAGAAGTTTAGTATCAGTATATACAACAGTACGTGATTAATCGACTAATTGTTTGGTGTCCTCCAGGGTTTACGGAGTTTTCTTGGGATCCTACCATATACACAAAAAGTTATAAATTCAGTTTGAAATCCACCTTAACAATTCCAAGAGGATGAATCAAAGATGTTCTTCTGCCATTACTATCTATCCTACCGCTCATTTTCTAACTTTTCAACCAGGTGTGTGGGCAAATGGCAGTTCACAGTTAACACAAATACAGTACTGTGTACCGATTGTTACCAATAGCCTTTACCACCAGAGGAAGTTTCCTTTTGGGATCACAGGGAATGATGAAGAGATATGACGGTATGACGTCATTTCCCATTAATCCACTTGGGCGTTCGTGATTGAATTTCCCCACTAACAAATTTCCGGAAAACATCTCTTATCTCTCACATCGGGCAATCAACCTACGTCTGATTACCCAGGAAGAAGGGGTATGT